GATCCCACTCAGCTACATTAGTCAAAAAACAGTGTTTTGAGTGTGTTATAAACATGCAACACCAGATGGCGATGGACAGCAAAAAAAAAATTGAAGTGATTTTCCATAGTGTTTTTTCTTTTGTTATAATAATTTAATTTCTGACTTATTTATAGCATCCCCCCCCCCCGTGTGTAGATCCACCCCCTGCCTGGAGATTGGGTAAAAAAGGGAGAGAGGGATAGAATAGCAACTGTGTAGAGCCACAGAATATTTGTTCAGCCTTGGTTTTATGTAAATAAAAAAGCTATCATACCCAGTAGGTGTTTTAGTTGTGTTATATTTGCCTGAGAAGGGGTTTGTGGAATAACCACCCTCATGTAACCAACATGCTTAAAGGTAAAGGTAACGGTACCCCTGACCATTAGGTCCAGTCGCGGTCAACTCTGGGGTTGCGGCGCTCATCTCGCTCTATAGGCCGAGGGAGCAGGTGTCTGTCTGCAGACAGCTTCCGGGTCATGTGGCCAGCATGACTAAGCCGCTTTTGGCGAACCAGAGCAGCGCACAGAAATGCCGTTTACCTTCCCGCTGGAGCGGTACCTATTTATCTACTTGCACTTGACGTGCTTTTGAACTGCCAGATGGGCAGGAGCTGGGACCAAACAACGGGAGCTCACCCGTTGCAGGGATTCGAACCGCCAACCTTCTGATTGGCAAGCCCTAGGCTCTGTGATTTAGACCACAGCACCACCCGTGTCCCTTACCAACATGCTTAAGTCTAATTAAGTCTAATCAAATCCAAACTCTTCTTCTTCTTTTGCCTTCTGTGTAACAGTTCAGATGGAACAATTCCATGTACCGGTATGTGGGATTTCTTTGTGCAAAGGGTTTTAACCAGAACAAAACATCTTTTGAAGGGCATAGATTAAGCTGTCTTACTAGGCTTAGTGAGGTCACTTCCCCTTACCTTGGAAAGAAATGGGCATACAAGCCTATTCTTCAACCTCCAGTCTAAACTTGAGAAGTTTGAGGTGTGAAGAGGTCTGAGCTGGTTGTCCTAAGCTCAGACCGCATGGCTCTCACACACCACCTGAGTACCTATACCAATAATATAGGAACTTACACCAATGTAATTATGCCAAGTTTTACTGCCTGTGCACATGAATCTGACATTTGCAGAGTTTGTAAGTAAGCCAATTTTTAACTTACCAAATGTGTTGTCTTTTTCCTATGCTGTGGCAAGGGAAATGTTGAAAGTCAACAGAGCATATTTTAAGCTCTAAGAGCCTATCTGTCCATGCTTTACTTTGCTGCAAGTTTTGTGATTTTAAATTTCTGCTGGGGTTCTCTCACCAAGGCGTACTTGCCTCAAACATGGATCCTGCACTCCAGGAGTTTCTCCTTTTATATACCTCTTTTCCCCCCTTGCCACTTACAGGTTACAGTTGTGCCCCTGCTAGATGTTTGGCTTGATCTGTTTTGTTCACTTTTATCTGCTGCTTTAATCAGCCACTTCTGCAAACAATTTAAACCACATTTTGTATGCTCCAAAATAATGGAGCTGAAACAAAAGATTTTTCAAAACTTCAAAATTCACCCAAATGTCCTATTGTACTATTTGGTTTTTGATAAAATTCAAATTTTGAATGTGCAATTTTACCTCAGAATATGACAGCAGAGTTCATTAGCATCAATGAAGCTGAATGCTTTGCCATGGTTAAAGCAAATCCAATGAATGGACAAGGATGAGGAGGGGAGAGGGGATTCGTGCTGGAAGAGGGGAAAGAAGAGGAGGGGTACTGTTCACAAAGAGACAGCACACTCCTAATTTCTAATCATAGTAAAGTCTGCACCAGGCTTTCTAGGTTGGCTCATGGTAGCTGTGTTGGTTTTTTTCAAAGCTGTGGGTCTCTGTGATTTGATTAAACATAGAATCCTATACAACAACAACAAAGAATCCTATACATATGAAATCCTTTCAAATCAAGAGGAAAAGAAGTGTGAGATGAGCTATGTTTGTTCGTGGGATGGCTTCTTCCAAGAAAGCCACACACAAAACCGCACAATCTCAACACATTTTGATTCATGTTTAAAGAGTTCTGGTGGTCTTGGAGACTTTCATAATCCTCTCAGTTTCTCCCTCACAAACAATATCACTGAATTTGCAAGCAGACAAGTTGGCAGCCCTCAAGCATTCTTAAACAAATGGGGATGAATAAGCATTTTAAAATACAAGCTCTTCCTCAATTTTAAAGGAGACTTTTTTTAAAAAAAAAGTCTAGATCACCAGTGTCAGGAAACAGAACCATTTAGCTGTAAACACCAGTAGGGACTGGTTTGTACAGTGTGGTTTTGAATTCTTCTGTGCACAAAGGAAAGGCATTTTAAACACTTCATTTTCTCCATTGCATCATTAGCTGCTCCATAATTTTAGGCAGATTAATATTTCCAAACATTTTAATAGATGCTGTAAGAGAAAATGTAGAAATTCATGTCTGCTATTGCGTATACAATGCCACTGAAAATGCCTGGATCCAGGGCTGGATTTAGGTTTGATGAGGCGCTAAGCTACTGAAAGTAATGGGGCCTTTTATATGTCCAGCTGTCCTTTGTCAACAATAAATTGTTGCTGTTTTTTCTGTTGAATATATGCTATATGGTAATTTATGGACCTAATAGGTATCTAAAGCCATTTGCACGTAACAAAATATGTATTTTATCAAAGTAATTGTTGAACTGAAATACAATTGAGAACAACTATATTAATAGTGATTTTTAGGGGGGGGGCAAGAAAGTGGGGCCCTAAGCTATAACTTGTTTAGCTTATACATAAATCCGGCACTGCCTGTATCAAATGTGTCTTTGGAAAAATCATAATTAACACATTTGCGACAGAATAGCTTAATCAACCTATTTGGTCCTTGCAATGGCTGAGGTAATTTTGTGTGTGGAGTATATGCTAGTTATTATCAAATAATAATTACTGCACTTAGTTGAGGGACTTTGTATCCCTTAGAAATGGAAGGTGACTTTAAGCATCACACATATCTCTTATACCATCTAGGGGTGAGGCATTTAGTGGACTGAGGCAAGCACCTCACCTCAGTGGATCTAATCCTCACTTGATGATTAGATCAGATTCACACTTAGTATTAGCTAAGAGTTTGCTAAACAACCCAAAATGGCAGATCTGTCATCTTTCCTGCCATAAAAGCAAACTTTAAAAAATATTAAGCTTTGGTGCATGTTCTGTACCTCTATGACGTCTTTGAGTTCTGTACTAGAAAGTGATATACAGTGGTACATTGGGTTAAGAACTTAATTTGTTCTGGAGGTCTGTTCCTAACCTGAAACTGTTCTTAACCTGAAGCACCACTTTAGCTAATGGGGCTTCCCGCTGCCGCTGCACTGCTGCTGCACGATTTCTGTTCTCATCCTGAAGCAAAGTTCTTAACCCGAGGTAATATTTCTGGGTTAGCGGAGTCTGTAACCTGAAGTGTATGTAACCCGAGGTACCACTGTAATTTCTGTTTCTCCCTTATGCAGCTGGTCCTCCTTGTGATGTGGCCATCTAGTGTTTATTTACCTCTGTTCAAAGAAGATTAATTAAGTTTTTTAAGCCACCTCTGGTCTTCATAGTTGAAGCTGTCATCCTAGTAGATTTTACATCCTCTACATCACAACTGTTACTTCATGTTGGGCATATTTGCTGCGCAGATCCCTCTCCCCACTGGTCAATAATTGGACCTAACAGTGTAATCCTATGCACGCCTACTCAGAATTAAGACGCATTGAATTCAATGAAACTTACTCCCAAGTAAATCTATATATATGATTGTGCTGCTAGACAGTTTCCTGAATGCCTTCAGTGTCCTGTAAAATATTTGTAAAAAGTTGTTTACTACTTTCAGTTCCCAAAGAGTGCTATTTCATTTATATTTGCTCAATAAGCAGTTTATTTTAAGGGACTAATATAGATTAAACAGAACTTTGAAGAAGCTGAAATATGGATTTAAAAAACCAACTTTGCTCATTAGTAAAATGGAGTCTTTCCCCTCTAAAGGGATTTGGATTTCAAATATACATATGAGATATGAATTCTATAGCACTTCATACTCTGAAAAGTGATATTTTGATTTATTATAATATAGCTCAAAAAAGCCTTAGCAGAAAATTGATAATATGTTAACTGGTTTAAAATGAAAAGAACAATTACATAAGTTGTTATTCTTATATAAAATGTAACCTTAAGGTAAACGCTTTCCCCTGTCCAAGACACTTTTCAAGGCTTGCATGAACCTAATTATATTTTGGCTGTACTTTTTTTCCCTCTTAAAAAAATATTTAGTTTTGTGCTTTCTTTTCTGTTAAATGCCTTCATTTTGCAAAACACTTTTCCTCTTAATTTAAATCATATTCTTTTCAAGGAAACATGTGTGCTTCCCTGTCCCTTGTGTTGCTATGGAAATCAAAGCATGTGTTATATAAGTAAATATATTTTGTGTCTGTAGATAATTATTTTACGCTTCCTAAAAATTTTAAGATGGTCAAAGAAAAGCACCTGCATCTACCTAAGATTGTCCTAGGAAATATTTCAATAGCAACAGAGAGACCAGATTGTTATTCTCCATGTCGCTGCCTGCATTCTTTCAACTGAGGAGCATACAAGCCCTTCTTGTACAACTATATGGAGGGATGGGAGAGCAGGATAAGGTGTGACTCACCTTCACATGTTCCTAAGATTAAAAGCAGTTTTGCACATAGTATTGCAAACATGGAGGGTTCTCTCAATGAAGTTCGGATCCCTGAAAATGCAGTGTTCCTGATCATGTGCAGAGAGTTCTCCATCTATACATGCAGAATCTGAGGATGAAGGGTGGTATACAAATTCTGTAAACAAACAAACAAACAAAAACACATCAAACAAATAAAAACACGCAGGTTGGGACTCATAGCCCAACTTCTCAAACCCATGACATTTGAAAAGGGCTCTAGAGCATGTTTAAGGAGTATCTAAAAGTTCCTCTGTTCGAAGGAGCGCTCTGCTTGAAGAGCTGTCTGGTCACAAGAAATGTGAGCAGAATCCTTGAAGTTGCCCATCAATAGCTAACACCTGGACAACAGACTGATCTGCCACACTGTACATCTGGTTACCCTCTTCCTCATCATGGTGAGATATATTGTATTTCAGTTTAAATCATAGTGATAATTTTTCAGTTGGAACCTTTTATATAAATTGTTGTTGTTGTTGTTGTTTAGTCGCTTAGTCATGTCCGACTCTTCATGACCCCATGGACCAGAGCACGCCAGGCACATAAATTATAATATAAATATAATAATATAAATCAGCACATGCCAATTTTATTGAAATCTGTGTTACCCTGTGGTCCTCTGCTTTGGTGATCCGTAAGTGTTCGCACTGTATTGAATTCATTTGTGTCTTTTCACACCAGCCAGCGGTATTTAAGGGCTGCACCGAATGCAATTTGCACATTGGGGTTCATTCACACATGCATGGACCTTATCTTTTTGACTTTCAGCTGAACTGTCTTTATTGAACATTTTTGCATGTGAGGTTATAAGAAAGTTCTCATGGCAGTCTTTGATGTGGGATGGTTGTTTCACACATGGAAATAAACCTTGATCTTTTAGTCAGTGAAAAAGATGGATATGGTTGCAGAAGAACATCAGTAGTTCATTGTAAATCAGAAAAAGAAACCGCTAGTCCACAGGTTTGACATATAGGAGGGAAGAAGAGGGGTGGTTGGGCTGTGAATAATTTTCTCCTGCTACAGCAACTACTGGGTAGGCCAGCGGAGGTCATCTTATTATGGACACAACTTTTAGATGCCACTGCATTCACCTCTATTGTCACAGAGGCTAGAGATATGATCCTTATAGAAATGAAAGCGGATTGTTAGCGATCAGAAGCCTGTATTGCATTTTGGGGCTGGAAATCAAATTCTGCACTTCACAGTTCATTATTGTCCCCTGTAGATCTTTGGCTGAAGTTTTCCATTCTACCTCCTGAAGCATTTTCTACCATACATGTTCTTTTTTTTACAGCAGGGGATATAGAATGTTGTTACAGAACTTCTTATGTTCCTAAGACCTTGGAAGCAGCCAATAAATCTTTCCTGCCATTAGAAATCTGCAATGTAATCGCCGATGGTGTACAGATTGCAGCTTGCCTCCAGATGTTTAACTTGCAATGGGAAGCCATCCCCTACCTGTATGATTCAAACAATGCAAGAAGTAAATATTTGCCAATAGCGGGAGGGCCGAAGGAAAGCGGGTGCTGAATGCGTGAAGCTGGGTAAATAACAGCCATGACTTTATTAAGCATACTTCCCAGTGCCCAGTTTTGAGGTCTCTTGGGCAATATGCCTTCAGTGGGGCTTTCTCCTCCCAAGTTGCTGCTCCACGTCCTCACTTGTAGCATAGCTTGCATACTCAGTGAGGGCTGGTGATCAGGCAGTGATAGCAAGGAGGAGGAGCCTCAGTATATAAAGGCTCCAGTGAATGGCAGTGGATTCCCCTTTAGTGGGGGGTGTGCTTCAGCAGGTGCTCAACGAAGTCTACTCTTGATGCTGAGCATCATACTTCAAACTGGTTTGGTGTACAAGGAAAGGGATGTCGACTGTAGCCTGCCTGCTGGAAAGGTAGTCACACTGAACTCATGTGGAAAGAATGGAAGACATTAGAAGACATTGGAAGAATGTTGATGGGCAGAGAGACCAGACGTATTTGGGTCTGCACAGCTTTAACTTGGTGGTGGGACCACTTTCAGCCTTGAGGCTGGATTCCAACTTATCCAACCTTCTGGATACTGCATTCAGGTGGTGGGTACGACCAGAGGCAAAAGTGAGTGGGTCAAAAAGTTTACTTATTTCTGTGCATTTTACAAATATTTTACATAATTTATGTTCAGTTCCGTCATAGGCCAAATTAGGCCTCTGGCCAGAGGTTCCCCTACCACTGTCTTTTAACCATATCCCTGGGTGTGGGATTGAACCCTATTCCAGTTGCCAGGCATGGAATTTATTGAGGAATGCCAAACCATGCTCATCCCTAAAACCTAGCCGCTGCCCAAAAGAAAGACACCAGGATCACTCTGAGGAAGGAAAAAAAAATAAAAGGAATAAAATCAAACCTGTTTCTGCCAATGCAAAGATGGAGAGCTGAGAAGTCCCAGTTCTTGAACCTAGGGACCAACTGAAGGCCATTCTGAGGTGCAGTAATTAAGCAGGATGGTAGAAAGACCCAATAAGAACTGCAACAGTCCTTAACACCCACCCACCAAAAAAAGCTTTAGAGCTTTTTGCAAAGCAACTTGAAGGAAGGACCATTGCCAGTTTTGTGCAGACACACAGACCAATTTGGGCAGTGAATGTTAAGATTTTGCCTTGCACCTAGAGTGAAACTGACCACCCAGAGACTTGTCTTCTCCATTCTTTGGCTTGTTTGTGATGGGTTTCAGCTCCCATAAAACTTCCAGCATTAGGAATAGCACCGAGATATATTGTCTTGCTGTTTAAATCACAGCAATTATTTAAAAATTTGCAGGTATGCATGTCCATCACTATCAGCATAAAATATGCACCTCCCTTTGTCTTCCTTTTTGGCAATACAATCCCGCTTTTTAAAAGATGCATAAGGCGGCACTAGCAGTTATTTCAGACCTACCGTTTGTCGGGAATTGCTAATAGTGGGTGGATTCCTCCAAAAACCTATATCCATCTTCAAGGGGTTTGTCACTTGTTGGTGCCTCCTTTGTTTGCTCTAGCCTGCAATGCAAATTGTATTCTGAAATGAGAGCTGACATTAGAACTCCTTTAGACACTGAAGCCTCCTTGTTATATCCTATGAACCCAGAAGTCACCAAACTTCTGCATTTCCCTTCCTGTCTTGACTTGTCACGTGTCTCAGACATTGTGTGTTTTCCTTGCCATTGAGCACGTGTCTCTGTGGTAGCTTAGCGAGAAGAACAGCTGAATAAATATGTTTTTGTAAGTGAATATTTTTTTGTAAGTGAATAACATGTTATTAGAGGTACGAAGTACATCTCCAATGTAATCTTCATGAAATAATATTTTTTCCCTCAGTAATAAAAATCATTCTAAACTATTTTTGCTTGCCAATCAAAGCAAGAGAAAAATAAAATAAGGAATCTAAAGAAAAACACAGGGCTCTCCAATTCCCTTTTGGGATCTTGTGGAAGGATGTGACTTCAGTCAATGGTCCTGAGATCTTATTTATCACATCCATTTCACCAATGCCTTACTGTTGGTTAGAAGCCATTACTACGTGGAGATTAATCTTCATCCAGTGTTTCTATACGGAATTCAACGTGAGCAGGGGATCTCCGGTATTTGCAGGCTGGTGTTTTTGCCTTTCCTTTAAAATTTTTTGGTTAGCACTACTTTAAAGAAAAAATAACAGGGAAGGTAGGTTTTATAAAATGGTAACAAACTGAAAATTAAAATCTTCACCTCCAGGAAAAACATTTTAACTTTTAATTTAAAGAGCTCTTAGATTCCCAAACTACTTTAAAAACAAACAAACAAACAAACTGATTTCATATATTCAATACATTTTACTCAGTGTTACATCCTGTGGTGGAAATTGGTATAAATGAACATGCAGGTGAGTGTAGGGCCAGCAAACATTATGGAGTTTAAATCCCTCACCCCTGTAATGCATTTATAATGACCGTTCCATGCATAAAACGGAGGGCGCCCTTTGCGTGGATGCGCGCAGCCCCTGGATCTGGAGCGGCTCCATCAACACAGGCTTGGCTTCACCTTCCCTCAGGTGGGATACCTGGAGGTCTCCGCCTACCTCAGTCAGTTGTCCAATCCTGCCTGGGGGAAGCGTTGCCAAGGAGACCAGGCCAGGTAGGGGAGGGACTACCTGCCCACACAATAGAGGGAGGATCTTACCTGGGAATCCACACGGCTCCAGAGATTCTCCCACCCTCAGTTAAGTCTTATTTTGCAGGTTAGCTTTTCTTCACAGGTATGCGGGCGCTGCTACGTCAAGGTCGCCGTTAAAGGGCCAGAAAGGAATTCCCCTGCATTGGCAGGTTTTGCCTTTCCCATAGCAAAACGTCACAACTTTGGCGGTATCAGGCCTTGGGCGGAATCCTTTAGTCTATCTTCCTCTTTGCAGCGGCGATACCAGGGTTCCCCGTTAAAGGGGTTTCTGAAGGGAGGCTTTGACCATACGCTGAGAGGTCATTATTGCTCTCCCCTGCGGCGGCGTAATGGGGGCGGCTATCTCTGCTTGAACATATGTTCTCCAGAACTGGCCCATCCCCCCCCACTGGATAACCCTGATGTTCCCTAGGTCCCCGGCTGGGGACTGGGGAGGTATAATGCCCAATGCCTGAGCCAAGGTCTACCCACATCTGAAATATAATAAAGTTGTGGCCAATTTAATCCCATAGCACATTGTCTTGAGTCGTTATTCCACATGACCGGGGGGGGGGGGCGCCCGGGATCTGGGGGACTCCACCTGTCCATGCAGTGAAGTTGACAGCATTCTTTTATTATATTATGGTGTTTCCAGAACCTCTCCCCTTCTTTTAATCTGCTCGTATCACCAAGAACATTATTTGATGCCTCATCACAACATACCACTACTAAGCCATTAACTCCATTAACTCCATACATATATTAAATGTGTTGAGGGGGAGCAGGGCACACTTACTGGCCTCAACCTCGACATTGCCTTCATTTTGTATGTATTCACTGAGACGTTTGCAGGCCTTCCTTTGCAGATGTCCCACTGAAGACACAGATATCAGAGTCACTCCAGGGTTACGGTTAAAAAAATGCAGTATAAACACTGACAACTGGGAAACACTGGCCTGCAAGTGCTCCAGTTGGAGAACAGCCTTTATGAAAGGTGTCATGGGCTTTGAAGACACTCAAACTCAGGATGAAAGGGAGAAACGTGCTAGGAGGAAGGCACACTAAGGCAAATCCACACCGTGATCAACTCCCACCCAGAAACCAATGTCCCCACTGTGGAAGGATGTGTGATTCCAGAATTGGCCTCCACAGTTACTTACAGACTCATTGTTAAAACTGATCGGCTACGAGTGATCGCAGAAGAAGAAGAAGAAGAAGAAGAAGAAGGTTATTGATGTAGCTCTCCACTCTGGCATTTAATGTATACATGGAGGGAACAAGCGAGGGCGGGGGGCAGGGGGCGGGGGGCGGGGGAGAGCCTTCTTTCTCAACTGCAGGCAAGCTGTCATCAAGCAAAAAGCATTGTTTCTGAAAGGATATGAAAGCTCTATTTGTGGAGTTTGATCCTCAATGGCTGTTTCACACACGCAGGCATTACTTTATGTTGCAGTCATTGGTGATGACTATGCAGATGAAGAGTTTGGATTTGATATCCCGCTTTATCACTACCAGAAGGAGTCTCAAAGCGGCTAACATTCTCCTTTCCCTTCCTCCCCCATAACAAACACTCTGTGAGGCGAGTGGGGCTGAGAGACTTCAAAGAAGTGTGACTGGCTCGAGGTCACCCAGCAGCTGCATGTGGAGGAGCGGGGACGCGAACCCGGCTCCCCAGATTACAAGTCTACTGCTCTTAACCACTACACCACACTGGCTCTCCAGATGTGAACCGGGGAGATGGAGAAGCAGCTCTTTGAGTGAATATGCATGTTCCTCTCAATTGCAGCTTGCATTTCCAAATATAACTTTACAAGGCTAATGTTGAAATGTGGATCCATTCACTGCTGCTGGCACACCTGTCAGCTGTGCAAGTTCTGCCAGTGGTAGCTGAACTAATGTTTACTTCATGGCTAAGAGGGTTCTAGCTCCCTCTCTTTGAGTAAGTAACTATTGATATCACAGTTTTCTTAGCGTGCATAGGCTTGCCTTCATACAAATTATTTAGTTCTTTCATGACTGCTGGTTCCTAAATGTTACAGGCAATTAAGGTTTCATCTATAAGGAACTTACTTGACTTTGCAAATTATTTATACTATAGTGCCATGCCTGCCTACTCAGCAGTAGGCCCATTGTTCAACTTGAAGTGTCCACTAGAGTGTTTTATTGTTTTGTTTTGTTTTGTTTTTATAATATTTATTCAAATTTTAAGGTTACAGAAAAAGAAAAAGTAAAGCAAGA